GTTCGAGCAGTTGTAGCTCGATCTCACGATTGTTCGCGTTTGCTCGGGAGTGAAATTCATCGAGCAAACGAGGTTGACATAGTCTTGAATAGTGGCGTCGTAGACTAGGCCCGGGTCAAGGGCCCGGTTCGGGTCAACGTGTCCCGCCCCAATGCCTAAAGGCGTGGCGGGCTCGTAATCGGAGCCCATATCCTTGATGGGCTTTTTGGAATTATCGAGCGGGTTTGCGGTGGTCATAATGGCGGATTGGATAGCTGCAGGGCTCCAATTGGGCCGGGCTGATTTGAGGAGGGCAGCGATTCCGGATATGTGTGGGCAAGCCATTGACGTGCCGGATAAGAGAGTGTAGTCGCTCGATAGGAATATGTTGTTACCGACACTTGCCGTGGAGGTGTAAGGATTGTACGCGGCCAGGATTAAAACTCCTGGTGCAGTGACGTCAGGCTTCAGAATCTCGGGGTAGCTTCTGGCAGGCCCACGGGATGAGGAGCCTGACAGGGCCGGAGCTGGTCTGGGCTCCGGCCCGATTGTTGTTTGTATAAAATCGAGGCTCGCTTGTGGCGAACCGGTGCTTGTTGCGTATTTGACGACCTCTTTTGCTTGATTAGAGGTTATTACGACTCCGGGGAAGGGAAATGAGGTGGACCGGAGAATGGCAGCGTTGTCGGAAATTATGACGACCGCTCGAATGTTGGTCGATTGTGTGAGATCGTTCATTAGGGAGAAGAAAGACGTGGATTCGTCGGTTATATTGCATATAATGATGCTTTGGAAAGGGGCTTCCGCTAGTAGTTCGCCGGAATTGCAGGCGGAGAGTGTTTTGTTGTAGATGAGAGGGAAGTTTCTGATGGCGGCTCTCGCCGGAAACATTGTCCAGCCGGTGATTGTTTTGCCGCTGTCGCCGAGGGTTAGTCTGCCGGCGAACCACCGGTCGATTGTTCCGGAGGCCACCACTATGGCCCACGGGATTCCTTCTAGAAGAGTCGCGAAATTCGGGCCGCGGTTTCCGGCGGAGACAGAGACGATAATGCCCTTCTCCCTTGCGCCGAACCCTGCTATTGCGATGGGGTTCTCGTACAAATCTCGCCGGCGGTAACTCAGGGAAATTGAGAGGATGTCGACGCCGTCGGCGACCGCCTGGTCGATTCCGGCGAGCGCGTCGGACTCGTAGCTTCCCTCCCGCCAGAGGACCTTGTACGCCGCCACGCGGGCGCGTGGGGCCACGCCCCGCGCAGTACCCGCGGCGTACCCGAAAAAGGAGACGCCGTCGACGTAGTTACCCGCGGCGGTGGAGGCAACGTGGGTGCCGTGGCCGGAATCATCCCTGGCGGAGTTCAGAGTTATCACGACGCCGGGGTTCGCCGCCCGAACCCCCTCGTTGAAGTACCTAGCTCCGATGAGTTTCCTGTTGCACAGTGAAGAATTGAACTCCTCGCCGGCTTGGCAGATCCCCCTCCACCTCGCCGGAACAGCCGTCATTCCGTCGTCGCCGAAGCTCCGGCTCTCCGGCCAGACTCCGGTGTCGACAACTCCGATGATGACGTCCTTCCCGTACTCCGACGCCGGCCAAATCCCGGCCGCCGTGTTGAGCCCCAAGAATTTATAAGAGTGTGTCGTGTCGGGGGTAACGACGTCGTCCGGGTAAGCCGAAAGGAAACCCGGGGACTTCCTCACAGCGTCCACGTCATCTTCCGACATGACGGCGGTGAAGCCATGGAAGGCGTTGTCGTAGGTGTAGACAAGCTTCGGCCGGAGTTTTTCGCCGCCGCCGGCGAATGACGTCGGAGATTGGACGGAATGGAGGATGGAAGAATACCAGTAACGGTGAGATGAAAATGCCTTGGGCATGAGAGATTTATCCATGTGGATAATGTACGTTGATCTTTGTGCTGAAGCGTGATGAAGAAACCATGATAGAAGAATTACAGGAACTAGCTGAACCAGCTCCATTGTTTCTGCAGATTGCAGACAGTTCACCTCTGTTATTACAAACTATGTACCTTCATTCTTAGGGTAAATTACAAACACCCCCCTGAGGTATGGTCACATTACAAAAACCCCTCTCTTGTTTGGAAAATTACAACCACCCCTCAACTCCTCAAATTTAGTGGAATCTTTGAGATTATATGGAATTATTATCACTTCTGTACCCGTTTTATCCCATTCGAACTCTACATTATGAAGCAAGATGATCATAATATGTGTTTTTTAGCTTGTATATATCAGATTGTGGTGCATCGGAAACTGTATTTTTACACAAAACGAGCACAAACTAGAGCACATTCCACGGAATCTAGATGATTATGTTCAATTTTGCACCATAAGCGTGGAGGTGTAAGAAAAAATCATAGTTGAGGGGTAGATGTAATTATCCAAATAAGAGGGGTTTTTTCGTAAATTAACCATACCTCAGGGGTGTTTGTAATTTACCCTAATTCTTATATTTGTCCAAAAAACAAAAAAAAAAAAAAAACAAAAAAAAAAATATGTTGCCGACGGCTGAGTAATTAATTTTTACTGTATTTGTAAGATATTATCCGTCTGGCTTTCAAAAAATCATATCTAATCATACGGACAGTGACACCCATGCTCTGAATCCATTCGCATATTTTTTTTTTAATTTTTTATTTTCTTTTTCTGATTTACTAATTACAAAGTGATGGAGTATAATATCTTTTTAAATATAAATGGTATGATGGGAGAAAATTACCATCTACTACCTTATAATATAGATAACATTTCATGCAAATTTTCCTAGATTTTATTCTTTTTAGCTTTTACCCCTTCAATTTTCAAAACATTGCTTTTTACTACTGTAAAAATTGAGCATGTAGATTCAGTAAATTCCTAGAAATACCAGCTGAACTTATACTGGAGCATAAAATAATTAAATAAATAAACTGAGAAATATTTTAATCACTTCCATTAAAAAAAAAAAAAAAGAGAAAAAAAAATTGGGAGACCAGGTCATAATAAGTAGTGATGGGGATCTCTTTGACAAGTCTGGGCCAAACTGATCTCCATATTGAGCTTATTAAATAGTACAAGCATAAAATGTATAGGTCGAAAGAGATTTATTGGGCCCACCGACCCAATACACGTCAAAGACAAGGTCTCTTTAGAAGCTCGCGGTTAACGAGCTCGTCAGCCCATCCGAACATGCCAGAGACAAATCAACGCGGTATGTGGCAAGCTGAACGTGAGCCATTAGAAGTAGAAGACTCGGAGATACTTTTCTTAAATAGATAAGGAAGTATGTAAATTAGTATTACTAATGGAGCAATCAATGTATATCTCGACCTAATTAAGGCAAGTTAAATTAGGAAGCAATTAGAGTGATTTTCCTATATAAATTCTTTTGATCAGTCGGATTAAGTACACGATTTAACATCAATAAAAATACTTTTATACTCTCTTCTAAAGTCTCTCTCTTTTTTTATTTATATTTTCCGTTTGTCGAGTTTATCTTCTCCGGCAAAAGACCGACGCTCGTTGAATTTCCGGCGATCAAGGGAGGTCAATTTGGAGTGAGGTCTTGAAGGTGTAGATCCTACACCATTAAGTAGGTAGATGTATTGAATTGTTGGAGCCCAACTAGACTGTCCACGAATTATATTAATCAAAGTGAGAACGACAATATGATCTCTTGTGCCGTTGTGGGAGTGTGCGCAAGTCATAAATCTGTAAATTCTAGCAGAACTCATGTTTATACCGTTAAATAACAGTTCTTGATTTTAAGAAATCATACTTGTAGATTTTCAAGGGGTCCATGACAGGTTTATTGTCTCTGACAAAACCTTCAAGGGTTGAAATTCGTTATCATTATATATGTTAGTTTTGTAAATAGTTTATAAATTTACGCAAAATGTGTAGAAATTAAAAAGAATCACCAAGCGTAAAATCTTAAATTGAAACCAACGTTAACAATATCAAAGATAAATGTCATGAGTAAATTAAAATTAATAGGTTTTAACCATAAATCCATTAGAGAAAGTAACTACATTCAAAGCGTTATAAGACAAAATTAAAAATAAATAAATAACTATAAACAAAACGAGATGATATCGTCGTTATAGATATAAGTTTTGACATGTAAAAGATACTTTATTCATGTATTACATATTATTAATTTATTATATGCCATCATATGAACAAAACGACGTCGCTTTTTATTGCGAGGCGAAACAGGTTTTACGGATATAAAAAAAATTTGAACCCATTTTAGACCCAAACTGCCAAACCCTCTTCTCCGTTTCAGGACCCAATTATGTTGATGTCTATCCATCCAGTTCCGGCAGGCCACTTTTCCTTAGGTTTGACAGGTTCAACGGGTTGATGGATCCGACTTGTTCACCTCTATGGCTCTATCTAGTGGTACTTTACATATACTATTATGAAAAAGAAGACTTTTGCAGATATTTCTACAATTCTACTAAAGTGTGGAAATCAGCCGCAACATTTTTGGGGAAAAACATTTTTTTCGAAGTGAAAACTAATACCAATTTAGCTCCAAAAAGTCGAAAAAATCGGAAATCATGATTTCAAATGAAAAGAATTGTTCCAAAATCGTAAAATTTCGGATGAGAACCTGAGGATGCTACATCCGATAAAATATATATGAGTGATTTTCCATTTCGATTTGTACACACACACACATATCTATATATGAACATGTGTTAAATATGTGTGGATCTATAACACGTGTGTATAGAATATAACATACCTAGTGAAGTTCACCGAATGTAGCATAAACTAAACTCGCAATTTGATTGCCAACACCAGCCCCTACTCCAATATGTGAAATTAATTGGTCATAAATTTTAGGTACAGATCAACGAGTGACAATGAACTTTTTGGATTGGTACATCAACCAAACATTCAACGGATCCGAAAGTAAGATTGAGTCGAAATTCTCATAATTATGATCAATACCATGGAACCATTTCTAGTATCTTCATTCATTGATGCTTATAATCCTGGAAATTTACCCAATATACACGTCTATAGCTTCGAGTTCTCAATATTCTCATAGTACATCGTATTCTTCGACATAATGTACGTCACTTCGACTATATATCACACTAAACAGAAGCAATATCTCAAATGTACACTCAAATAGTCTAACGAGACAAAACGCATAGCACATTTTAAATGTGGAACATTGTTACAGAATCAACTCAAATAATCAAATCCCGCAAAAGTACCAAAATTTTCAACTAATCCCGACCTTATTGAGTTAATTACCAAAATAATAACGTGACGTATTTCTGCTTCATCGAAAGGTACATATAAATCGTTTTTTTTCCAGTATATATTGTAGCTTATAATTCCTCGATATAAATATATAAATATGTGATAATTAAAAAAACAAAAACAACAATATTTACAGAGGAGGGTAGCAGTGTCTTTTCACAACTGCTCGTCATCAGTTTCTTGCTTCCTCAACAAGGACCTATCGGTTTGGACACTGCTTTCATATCCACTACTATCACCTGCTTCATTTATCTGCTTCTCTACAAACATTTCCTTCACTCCATCGCGGTGTGTTCTTCCGTTTTCCCTTCCGCCCCTTCGATCCTAATAATAATAATATAAAAAAAAATCAAAAAAAAAAAATTAGTAACTTTTTTCTAACTACAGACATAATAGGGTCACGGGGGCCATGGCCCCCGCCACTTCTTGACAATCTAGTATTTTATATAGAGATTTATTATTATTTTGAATAATGTAAAGTTCTCGCAAAATCCTGGCTACGCCACTGACTACAACAATTGTGAAGGAGACTATAATAAGGCAAATTAAAGCTTGGAAAACGAAACTCGAAAAGACGAAAAAATAAAAAATTAAACTAGGTTAATTACAAACAAAATACTCTCAACAACAAGAAATTTGGATTTTAATTTTTAGATTATATTAAAAACTTACGTCACGAAAAGGAAAATCATCGGCCTCGAGCATGTGCACTACATGCCCCATCTTTGGCCTCTTCTGAGAATTGGGGTCCACACATCGTAAGGCTACCAAAAGGGTTCGTTTCAATGCTCTTGAAGAAGGCTTTTCCGGTATCTTTGGATCCAAAACTCCCTCCGAATTCCGATTTGAAACCATTGCTTTAAGCCAATCAACCAGGTTTACCTACCAATTTTCGACCAATTACATGCAAGTTTATATATATTATATATATTATATGGAAGCAATTTATTAAACCAATATTTGCAATAATATATACCTCCCCCGGTGGGCGGCTATAATCCACTGGATTCCTCCCCGTAAGAATTTCCATTATAAGAATTCCGAAGCTATATACATCACTTCTCTCATTCAACATGCCAGTACTCGCGTATTCTGGAGCTACGTATCTAGAATAAAACAATAATTAATTAATTATTCTTTTATTTATTCAATAATAAAGCTCCGACAAAAAAGAAAAAAAAAAGAATTTATATATTTTTTTGAGAGAGAGAGAAGATAAATTACCCAAAGGTGCCCATAACTCGTGTGGTGATGTAACTCTTTTCGGAGCCGATGAGCTTCGCCAGACCAAAGTCGGAAACTTTAGCTTTCCATTGTTTGTCTAATAAAATGTTGCTCGATTTAATGTCACGATGCACGACTTTTGGCTCGAGGCACTCGTGCAGATAGGTCAATCTGAGAAAATAATCAAAACCATACTCTAAAGTTAATCATGAAACTTTAATAATGAAAATGCGAATTAGTACTAATGATTTTTTTTCCGTTTTTACCCTTTTGCGGTTCCTAGTATGATGTTCATACGAATATCCCACGTAAGAGGGCTGTAAGGCCCTACATCTCCATGAATCCACTGCTCCAAATTTCCATTGTTGACGTACTCGTACACAAGTATCCTGATTAGACGAACAATGGAAAAAAATTATCGTAAAAAGAACAACGTAAAATATTACGATTAGATTTAGATTTTACGAAAATGATTTAATCTTAAAATTCTAGACAGATATTTATATCAAATTAATCTTACCTGTGAGTTCCTTCAGCACAATAGCCGAGCAATCTCACCAAATTCTTATGGCGCACGCGCCCGATTGCTTCGACTTCGACCTTAAACTCTCTCTCTGCTTGACCCCTGGAAAAAAGAAGTATCAAAAATTGAACACCCCCAAATGACAAAAACAACGCAAATCAAAAGAGCCCGATAATTTGGCTTCGCTTTTAGAAAAGATCATACATTTATCCTTCTAACTCATATCTATCAAAATATATGCTTTATTATGCTAAGGCTGTGTTCGGTTGCTCCACTATTAAGTCCAATTGACTAAATAGTAGGAGTCAGTAACATGTACGATAGTACGATAGTACGAAAAGTAAGATTCAAATTAATTTAATCTCGCTTCAAAAAACAGTTGAAACCCGCGATTAAATGCTACTAACCAATAAATTCGATTAATTTTGCAAGTAGTGACAAAAAAGAGACAATTTTATCTACAAAATACTACAAATCGCCGGATATAATTATCGTCAATTTACGTATGTTATCGATAAATCACATTTTAATGCTATGTTTTAACAATTTTAATATTACATTTAACACAAGAACCGATCATCTAACTAACTAAACTAATTAATTAGTTAGTAGATATTTTAAATAAATAATGAGAAAAACATAAATCCAAATTCAACAACTAATTTCTCAAAATTCACAATCACACCATAATTTTACTACATTCAATCTATTGAACACATATGTAATAATTAAAAAAAAAAAAAAAATTAATTAAATAAATAATAAAAAAAAGAGGGAAAAATAATACCTGTTATTAAGTAAATTTTTGACAGCAACAATAGAATTATCATCCAATACACCTCTGTATACAATTCCATAACCACCTTCACCAATCACATTCTCATCTGCAAAACCATTCGTTGACTCCTCCAGTTCTCTTAACGTGTACCAGTGGCCCCACCCCAAATGCGACACCTCCGGCCCGGATACCCCCTCTGCCCCGGGCCGGGCCTCGCCCGACCCGGAACCAGGCCCGCCGACTGCCTTCTCCGGGTACGCAATTCGGTTCCCCTTGCCGCTCTCTATGTGGATCCTGTTCCGGTCCGCACTCGGGTCGGGCTCCGGAAACGGGTGGGCCTCCGGGTTTCGGCTCGGGTCGACCCGGATTTCCTGGATTTCCCTGGACACGCTCGGGATGATGGCGGGGTTCTTGCGGGCCGACGGCGGCGGCGGCGGGGATTTCTTGTTCCGTCTGGAGGTGAACCAGAGTGAGATGAGGAAGAGCAGGATGACGATGGCGGCGCCGACGCAGATTCCGACGATGACCCACAAACGCAGCCCGAAAATCGAGGTCCGTTTGGAAAGCTCGTCGTTCAGAAAAGCTGGACTCCCATCAGACATATTCTCTCTCTCTCTCTCTCTCTTTCTCTCTCTAACTCTCTCTCTCTCTCTCTCTCTCCTCCCTCAATCTTCTTGTCTCTCACTCATATGATTGATGGGAGGTAATTAACAGAGAAGACGACACTCAGGCCAGTGGTAGTGGGGCTGGGGGTGGGGGGGCGGTGGTGGGGGGTGGTGGTGCAAGCTGTGATGATGGGACTAGTTCAAAATGGAGAAAGGACCATTTCGATATACGAATCTATTAATAGGGACTAGACCATAATATTTAATAACTATATATAATATTGTTGGAATACTGACAAATTAACTAGCTTATGACTAATTAAGTAGTGCTTTGGACTAATTTGCTTACTACCCATTAATGTAATGTGAATTTGGTGATAGATATTTTATTCAATCATTTTTAAATTTCTTTTTTGGTTTCTTTTTCCTCTTTATTGGATTCTTTGGTTTGATATGGATTAATAATCATTGTTGCTTTTTAATGTTGGTAGGTGATAGTATTTTTCTTAGCCACTTTTTATTTTTCTTCTTTTTCTTTTAATTTGGTGGTTTTTTATTTATTAAATTGTTTCGGTGATTGATAATTTATATCAAAGTTGGAATTTCTCGCTCTCAGGGTCTCTAATTCCTGGTTCGATTATTATTTGACGGAGGAATATAAATTCTAGCGATCGACTCAACGATATGTTGCAATGCGGACATGTCCTAATATCAGAAACCAACCCTCATTGATGATTGATAATTTGATATAAAGATAAGAAGTTGGTGCTAGAGGAATTATGTGGGTTTTTAATATTGACCGTTCGAGACAACAAAAAATTATATGCAACTATATTTGTGGATGAAAATCAAATTATATTACTAGATATCTATTTGAGATCATTCGTTAGATGTCGTTTCAAATTGGTTTGTTAGTATAACGAAGCAAATTTGAATACATAGACTAGTTCGATATATTATAAAATTCGTAATTAATCATTAAATTATGTAAATAATAGGAGAAGCAACAAAAATATTTAAGCATTTGCTATTCAAACATATTTCTAACTTTTAAGAAATTGTAAAATAACATATAAACTACCATGCATGAGTCCCGACATCATAAGGCGTCCGAAATGCTGAAACATTAAAGTATATAACTTGCGAATAATTGACTTTTTTTTCAAAAGTGTTAATTAAATGATCCAAATGGTTAATCTATTCAATCGATGTTCCTCCCTGGTTTTTTTTTTTACTTTTGACTAATAAAAATATATTGGGGATCAATCGAATTGATCGATTGGATCTATAATTCTCAGAATAAACATATTCCATGTTCAGAGGAAATGTGTGCACATGTCATCCATATATGTACATTATGCCATGCACGCAGACACGTGTCACACATCTCATGTATCATTCAAAATATGAAAAAATGAATGCAATTTTACAATAAAAAAGATCCAGCTTCCCATACTGATACCATGCGACTAGGGGTGGGAATCAGATGAGCTCGAGCTCGCCTCTTTTGGCTGGCTCGTGCTCGAACTCGTCGAGTTCTTTATTTTCTGGCTCGAGATCGAGTTCGTGTTCTTTTGTCGAGTTCAAGTCTAAGCTCATTTTATTAGTTTATTTTAACATTTTTTAATTATTATTTTCTTATTATTAAAATATGTTTTAAAAATATACAAATTAAACAATAAATTGTAATTATATATATTTTTAAAATTTATTGTTAATTATTTTTATAATATTTTATATTATTATACATTACTTCAATAAAAAATAATATATAAAAAATAACTAAAAAAATAAAATTAATTAATAAGGCTTGCGAGCCAGCTCGTGAGCTCACAAACATTTAACAACTGGCTCAAGCTCGGCTCGTAAGAAAACTCGAGTCCGAGTTCGAGCTTTTTCCGAGTTGGATCGGCTTGTTTACCACCCCTACATCCGTAGGGGGCGGATCCAGGAGTTTTTTCTTGTGGGCTAGAATATAGGATGATTTAAGAAATTTTTTTATAGACTAAAGTGCATAAAATTTAAAATTTGTGGGGCGAAAGCTCATTAACTAATATATAAATAATATATAAAAATAAGGAAAAAAAATTGGGGTGCGGGGGCCACCCGATCCCTGAGCATACTCATAGGTACGCTCCTATACATATGCATGTATGTTCGTGATGAATATGGATTCCGTTTCTAGGGTAAATTACAATTGCTCCATGAGGTAATGTTTATTTACAAAAAAATCATCATTCTTCCGTATATAATTGCAGGCATCTTATGGTAAATTTTAGGTTTTTTACATTAACATCCTTTCAGATGAAAGTGGATGTAAAATTTACAAACTATAAGAGCGGAATGTAATTTCCAAAAAAAAAAAGGTTTCTTTTAGTTACGTTTTATCTCATGGAGTTGATTGTAATTTACCGTTTGTATTTTTCTCTTTCCAAAACATGAGAAATGATGTGAAATTGAATGATATGGGCAAAAAAATGCATATATTCATATCCGTTTATACGTTGCCACACCGAGTGAACTGTAGCTACTAGCTAGGACTGGTCCGAAGTATTTAGAGGCACGGGGTAAATTAATGGTTTGTGCGAGTCCGATTTAAATTTAAGCTTCTAATTCTGTAAATTGTGCCAGTTCCAATTTTAATTTACCAGCTACTTGTTTCATAGCTTTAATTTGAGCTGCAGACCCCACTCTGGAAACGGAGATCCACACATTAATAGCAGGTCTGATTCCATAATTGAATAAATCGGCAGATAAAAATATTTGTCCATCGGTAATGGAAATTACATTTGTAGGAATATAAGCCGAAACATCTCCCGATTGTTTTTTGATTGGATGGGAATGAATGAAAAAATGCTAAACCGTCCCGTATCGAATCTGGAATCAAATCTAGAGAAGTGTGTAAAATTAATTCAATTAATGAAATACAAATTACACATATGTATTATCACTGTTGTGGTATATATCTCATGTACTACAAAATGAGACAATGTGGCCCATGTCGTCAAGCCATGTTAAAGACACGATCATTTTTTAAAGTTGACCGTCAATTACACTAGATTTTGGATAATTTCAGGCGAAATTATCCCTCCGATTGTTTGTGTACAAAAAGTGTGCCTCTTTCTTTCTCTCTTGTACTCAATTTACTCCCAAATTTTTTTCTTCATGTTTATTCCCTAATTTTATTTACACAACCTAAAAATTTCACCCCAAAAAACTAGTTTCTCTTGGCTAATATTTTTAAATTCTCTTTAAATTTCTGAAATTTTATAATTTCATCTTCCCAAAAATTCTCGATTTAAAAAGCTTCCCATAGTTCAAATTTTCAAAAATCACGCATTTCATTTTTTTACATCCAAACAGAACAAGACATATTTTTCTACATCCACGTGTCGTTGCAACCAGAGTGTCACATAATAAAGTAAGAAAATTGGTCAATTAATAAAGTCAAAAAAATGCATGTTTACATCATATAAATGTAAGGGTGAAACCGTAATTACAATACATAAACTAACGATATTAGATATTAGAGGGTTGACCGAAAAGTTGAAGGGTCACTTAGTCATATTTCATAGTAAAATAGTATATATGCGATACTAGTGATAGTACAAGCAGGCGATCTGTATTTGACCCTCGTACATTTACAACATACATAATAATATATATAGGAAGAAAAGAAAACAAATGGGCCGCCAAAAAAGTGGGCCTTTGTTGCCACCAAATATGTTTTCAGTCACAAAAACACACCACATTAATATTAGACTTTCCAGCATAAATTTGACAATAATCATCTCAAATCTTGAAAGTGAAACATCCCCAACAATTTATGTATGTTCATCTATAAACTGGAGAAAATAAAAAATTTAAAAAAATTAAAAAAAAAATTATAATTCAATAATTAGAAGAAAATTATTAAATCACAATACCTAAGACCCTTTGCAATCATTTATTTTTTACTAGCTACGAAGAAACCCCCGGTGATGAATTGTTCCCCGAGTTGTAACTCCTATCTAATTGCAATCGAGACAATGTATTATCGTCCCTACAAATATCCTGCACAAATTAAAAAAAAAAAAAAAGAAGTTATCTGATGTAACTTGTAAGAGATTTAATTGATTACTCAGACTCGAGTTTTCGAACGGTACTAATTAATAATACCTTTCCGGAGGCAAAATGGTTAAGCAATCCATAATGATTTTGCATCAGATGTGGCACTAAACTAGGTGGGGTATTTGAAGTGGAGGGCACGAGCATTGGCTGGTTGTTCGAGGAACTCTGATTGGTGGGTTCGAGATTATTATTATTATGTTGGATGAAAAAATCTTGGTCGGAGGTAAGTGGGCCCGCCCCTCTATTTGCATTGAGCAACGCGTTGTTCTGCTCGTTCAACTCCAATCCGTCTGATGAGGGTGCTAACATTGATTGCAACGATCCGAGTGAATAGCCAGGGTGTAAACTTAATCCGTTTCTCATTGTTAACATCTGCAAATGTGATTGATTCGTATATATTTATCAAGTTGTGTGTGTGAGAGAGAGAGAGAGAGAGAGAGAGAGAGAGAGAGAGAGAGAGAGAGAGAGAGAGAGAGAGAGAGAGAGAGAGAGAGAGAGAGACATTTAAAATCTCCGGTGCTGGGCGAAACAGAATATTCTAATCATCAAGATTAAATATGTCACTTCGAAATCGTACAAACATACGTTTTAAGGGAATAAAAATGAATACCTGAACTTGGAGTTGAAGCTGTTTCAGATATTCAATGGCCTCATCCAACATCGACGCCTTGTCGGTCTACCGTATTAAAAAAAAAAAAAAAACCTCAATGAATTCCGTGCAGATTAGATAAAAGAAAATGTATTTATGAAACATTTATGAAAAAAAAGAAGCTAAATTGGATGCATTTATGAAACAATTACTTTATTAGAATTTGGAATTAGATTTTGAAGTGCCTTGAGCTTCTCGTTAATGCGACTTCGCCTCCTCTGTACAAAATAGCTATCGCTCGATCAGACAAACAAACAGAATAATATTCAGACCAAAATCGAATTACAAAACAAAAAAGACGAACCTTTTCTGACAAATTATGAACTTCTGCAGCTCTTCTTCTCTTTGATGAATGCGGTAGAGACGGATTGCCCGGTGCATCACTACCTTCTGGTTCCTATATATTTCAGTGATTTAAAAAAGTATACCAAAAATATTACAAATTTCAAAAATTGAGATAAAAGATTACCGATCACATTATATTTGCAGCGTATCTCAGCAAAGTCGAAATTTGTTAAAATTACAAATCCTAAGTGGAAGCGTTTGGAGTAACAATAAATGTATATATTTTAGTAAGATCAATCCATTCGTAAATATTAGTCCAGTCGTTTCAAATTAACTGTCGCTTTAGAGAATTTTTTTTTTTTTTTTGGTTTCATATTATATGTCACTAAATTTCCAATGACGCGTTTATTACATTATTTTGCACTCATGCTCTTAATGGAGAGAGAACTATTAGAAACATAAATAATAAGAAAGGGTAATTTAGTTCTTTTTTTTTTTCTTCTGAATTCATGCATATTACATATTTTTCATAATATGTGCCAAAATCTTAAGCACACTACAGTTACGCCTCTATAAATTGATACAGTTGGAACTAATAAAATTCTATTAATTTAGTGAAATATTAAATTATTAAATTAATAATTTAGTATGTTTTTACCAAGTCGGGACCAGAAAAGTTATTATTTACGCAAGGTTACTAATTTATCCAAGTTCTACCGTATGTGAAACAGAGGGAATAAAAATAAAATGTTGAATTCAAGCCACCAAAATCCAAGTAGAGAAACTAGTAATCAAGATGAAATTCATATTTTACTTATTAAAAACAGCAAATTGCAAATCCCAATTTATTTTTATTTTTTTTGTCAAATCCCAAAATTTAAAAAGCTCTAAATTTACAACATATTTTTAGACAAAAATAAAATAAAAATTAAAAATATATATAAATAAATAAATAAAAAAAAAAAAGTGAATTTCATGTACCTCGGAGCTGGAAGCAAGGTTCTTGACACTGCTAGAAGGGTTTAGTCCATCATAATCTCTTCCAAAGAAGCAGCTGGGGTCGGAGATATCGATGCCGGAGGAAGGCTCCGGCACCGGCACCGCCTCTCCGGCGATGAAAAACTCGCCGGCAGCCGGAGGAGCGGTGGTTGGAGGAGCTGAAGACGAGGGATTCTGGAGAAGTATTTGAAGAAAAGAAGAAATATCTTCTTCAGATTCATTGCTTCCATAAAGATCCGACATTTCATTAATTATTACCACTGCAGGATCACTCACCATTCACCAAATAAATCAAAATAAAAAATTAATAATAATAAATTTATTATTTAATTTTATAATTTTGTGTGAATTAATTATGAATGGAGAAACACACACTTCACACTTGTGAAAATCAAGAATGTGGAGAACAATGTATCTTGAGAAAGTAGAAACCCCATTTCAAGATTTTTATCTGTCTTTTTTTTTTGCATTTGCGGAATTGATATTTCCTATGTTGGGAAAAGCGAACGGCTTTCTCTATCTTTCCTCTTTCGGAAAATATGGTTTTTTTTAGGGACTTAATTTCACTTTGCACCCTTAAAATATAGTATTTTAACACTTTGCACCTTCAAAATAATTAAATAGCATTTTGAACCCTCAAAACACAATAAATATTAAATATGCACCTTGAATGAATATTTGACATTTAATGTGGGTAATTTCATTTTTATTGGGGTTTTTTCTTTTTTTTTAATTGCCAAGGTGTAAAATAACAAATTAAATTGTTATTTTCTGTTACCTCCAATATAATTTCGAGCGTTCAAAATGCGGATAAACAAAAATCACATCGAATTACAGAAAAAATTAGAGAGAAAAAATCATTAAATTATTCAATTGACGGATGTTTTGTCTCTAATTAGTGAAAATATTTGGAAGAAATATGATTTTAAGATAAATTGATAACAAAATAGTTTGAAAGATTTTTTTTCCTTTCCTTTCGTTTTTTGTAAAATATGTTTTGTCAATTTTCTTTTAATATCTTGATGAAATATATTTTTATTTTTGTGCATAATAGTTTTGAATGGATTGATAAATATATATCATTAAAAATATTAAATTACATCCATTACCTTTTTAAAATTCTTTAGAGATGTGTTTGGTATGATTTCTTGTGTTTGGAGGATTTGAAGTGTTATTAACATTTTTTGAGGGTACAAATACCAAAATACTACATTTCAAAGGTACATGGGGTTATTAAATCTTATTGAGGTCTGTGTTTGCTCTTTTAGTTTCAAATAAATTATATTTTTAAATAAAAAGACAAAATTATTTCATATCACTTTCGAGATTTTCAATAATTTATTTATTATATATTTCTCAATTATTACCTTTCATATATAATGGTGAAATACATATTTGATAACTTTTTTTTTAATAAAAGTACATTTCTCTAACATTCATGTTTTTTTTTTAAATATTTAAGAGAATTCATAATCGGCAATATAATATGAAATGGAGATAACAATATATGACTTTAAAGTTTTATTTTCTAATATCCAGGGATGGCGGTTTAACCTGTTTCGCCTCGCCCCAGATTTACTAGGTACTCCCGGTCCTGTTAGATAATGGGGCGGTTATGGGTTTGAAATTTTCACCCGTAGCGGGTACGGGGTTACTGATTTTGAACATATGGACCATTATCCACCCCGTATTCAACCCATTTATATATGTTTATTAGTTTTATATATATTTTATATTATAAATACTAATTTTTAGAGATATTTTAATTAAATAAACTATAAATATGCAAAAAATTATATTTTTTTACGGGTCCAGGGCGGAGCGTGTACGGGACATGTTTTATATGAGGCGGTGGCTAGTTTAATAAAATCAGACCTAGAATGAGAATGGAACGGGTTACCGGTGAATTTTTTTACTAGCGGGGGCGCAGGTGCGAGTTTTCCAAAACCCGCCCTATGGCCATGGGCGGACCCACACTGTGTCTTGGAGGAAAAAAAAAATTACAATTTTTTATTATTTTTTTATATTATTATGTTATGTATCTATTAGTTTATGTATTTTAGCCCCCAAATTAAAATATTTTTAGCCCCCGAAACCCCTGGGTCTGCCCCTGCCATGGCCATCCCTTCTAATACTTCATCATCCCCACTAATTATGTTATGCTAATCTTGTTTCTATTTACAAAGAGATGCCTCAACTTTATGCTAATCTCTTTAAAATCGTTCACTTCTAATTATAGTAATTAGTAGCCATGACATTAAGATGCCTTGTTTTTTTCAAAAAGTCACATAATAGCCATTTTTTAAGGGCAAAAAGTAAAAAAAAAAAAAAAAAAAAAAAAGAAGATAAAAAAAAGATAAAAAAAGGTCAAAAAAAATAAAGGAAAAAAGGAAATATAATGAGTAATTATCACAACTTAGTTGACTAATTGGTCTTCCACAATGACAATAATAGATAGGTGGAACAAGATATTGCGTTGTGATTTGTTTGAGTTCGAACGTTGTTAACAGTATTTTACAGGTCGATTTAGTAATATATACTTAGCGTAATTTAGTTTACATTTCTTATATGGAATTCGTGAATTATTAGACAATAATGAAAGTTTACTCAATGCACTTCAAATGACTTCAAATTTTTGTTAATAAAAAAAATGATGAGCTCAAATCCACCATGCGAGTGAGGTTGGGTGGACGTCAATTATTGTAGAGGATGATTGTTTGCAGGTAATGTAATCTCTCCGAGATAGAAGAAAGTCTGCTGCCAAGTTTGGCGTTTTTCTAGAAGATTGCTTTCACTTGTTCCCTCGTTTTCAATCTTGTGATTTTTTAACTAATGCCCTCGCAGAGGCTAATAATCTCACCTGTAACGAGGGTTTTACCCTTCCTTTATCGTTGGCAAGATATGCCTTATAAAATCTACGTCTATTCCTCTAAAAAGGAAAAGAATTAAATTAAAAATAGTGCACTTCGGTCTTTAGGGGCTATTATCAGAGCTCGATTATTAAGTTGGACCTCAGGAGACCCAACTAGTTATCCCCCCATAAGCCTATATTAGCCATGATAAAACTATTTTCGCGGGTCGGCCCGGAAAATAGTAAGGTTAACCAAACATCATATTAAGTCCAATTAATTAGTTAATCTTGACTTATTTTGGCAACCAAACGGGGCCTTAGACCTCATTTGCTTACACGTATTGGATTGGAGTGGATCATACTAAATTAAATTAATTCCTTAATAATTAATAGTTTTGTAGTTAATAACATGTTTGATTCTTTAAATTACATCATGTATTAAATTTATTAGATTTTGGTCGTATATTTTATTTAGAAAGTTTCTTATTTAACAAAACAAAGTATTGTTTTAGTGATAAAATTCTATCTTTCCTTTTTGTCACCGTTACAAAATTAATTACAATTAATATAATATTTGTTCAATAACTATTTCACCCAAAAACTTAAGTTGTTAGTGAAATGTATCATTTAATAATAATATTAATATCTCCAATAATGTTTATAAAAATAAAATAAAAAAGAATAAGAAAATAAATTAGAGTAATAATTCTACGGAGTATTGGAGCTGTTTTATGAGGCATAAAAAAATATAAATCTTTTATATTATCATATTACGATTAATAATATTTTTATTACAATCCGGTCTGACTATTTGACCCCCATGCAACTGAAAATATACAACACAGACCACTTTCTTTCATCCTTGATTGCACAACAACACCTTATCCAACTGGAATCCACCTTACCCTAAAATTTTAAAATGCAGCATTCCCTAGGCCAGACCTCATTCATTTTTGGGTAAATTACATCCACCTCCCCGAAATAAAGAGTAATTACAAACAAACCTCTTCTTATTGAGAAATTACATCTAGCCCTTTTGAGTTTGTAAATTTCTTACATCAACCCCCTACAAAAGGGTGTTACTGTAAGTAATCTTCAAATTACATGAAATGGATGTAGTTATTGAGACATAAGGGGATTTTTCATAAATAAACATTACCTTAGGGGCAGTTGTAATTTATCCTCATTTTAATTTGTGCTTAGGAAATTTGGAATCACCTACACACTAGTGGAAACATGGATTTTCACTACGGCTTTTAACCGTAGGCCAAATAAACTAAATTCGTATAAAAAAAATTGTTAAGAATTTGCGCCATTACAGAAACGGGCGTGACAAAAACTTTGCTACGGTAAACAACAGTAGTAAATACTTTCTTACTTAGGCATATCGTAGCATTTACTATGACGCACTCCACTAATTATATCTCCATCAATTGTTTCTTATAGTTTGTGTTTTAAGAATTAATATTTGAAATATTTTATGAGTAATTGTTAAGTGTATACTTTTACACTTTATCGTATCTTTTTATTTGAGCTTTTGGTGTGTTTTAACGATAATTGGTGCTTAAAAAGTCGATTTATTATATTTCAGGTATAAATTGAAGAATTGGAAAAGTATGGGGTCAAAACTGTAATTTTGGAGAAAATATGGGCCAAAAGTGAAAAAAACCAAAATCTGGAAATTTAAAGCTCGGACGGCCGTCCGAGTTTTAGTTCAAATTATGGGACGGCCGTCCGAGACCCCGAAACAACGCAGTAAAGGGATTTTAATTGCACAAGGAAACTGCCTTCTTCCCCAAGTTCTTCACCCTATATAAGACCAAACCAAGCACACAATTGGGGATTCTTTTTACGCAATTTGGAGAGCAACAAAGCAATAACGAAGACGAAGAATTCGAAGACTCTAAGCATAGATTTATCGTTTATGACTTATTTTATTTGTGTTTTTCCTTTAATCATGAGTAGCTAAATTTCTTATTTCTAGGATTTTATTTGGAACCCTATGTGGGATTTATGAACCCTTTTCTATGATTTTATGCAAGTTTTAATTCCGGATTATTTCTTCTACTTCTTTTATTAAGTTCATGAAACTGGCCACTTTATGCGCTTTTATGTTATTGTTAATCGCATGAATCGGAAGATCGGGTTAATAATTAGAACTGTGGTAGAAGAGCCTTTGTGGTATTAACATATGAATATAGTTAATCTCTTAGGTAGCCATTATTGAGATTTGTGCTTAATGCTGTGTTCTAGAATTAATTGCATAGGAATATAGTAATTGAATCTAGAATATTAGAATTGTAATACACGCGGAAGCGGGTTATGATTATTTTAGCATCTCAGGTTAATAATCCGGGTTAATTGCTTGCATAATTAAAAGAATTGGGGGAATAATAATCACATAGGGGGAAGAATAAAATCCTAGGCTTGTTTACTCTGA